TCAAGAGTGCTAGCAAATTGTCTGGAATTGAGTGGTCCCACTTGAATAATGATCTGGATGGATTAATTTTGTTTTCTGTTGCTCAATCTGCCTATAGGCTTCTGTTTATAGTCATTGCACTTATGGTTCTTTTCCTCCTTTTCTGTTGCAAGTATTCAAAATTTGCACTTATGGGGTCCCTGTTTCAACTGTGTAGTCAGGGAGGCAAAAACAGAATTTGGACGTGGTGGAGGTAGAGGTGGTGGACGTGGCTATGGTCGTGGTCGTGGTGGAGGTGGGTTCAATAGGGAAGCATCCAACAATGAGAACTTTTCTCGCAACAGAGAATTTTCAGGTGGTATAGCTGCACCTGAATACATGGAAGGAGGAAGACCCTCTGAAAGACGTGTGGTTATGGTGGACCCCATGCTTTCCGTGGTGGTAGACAAGGTGGTTTTGGTAATGAAGAAATGCCCGAGGGGGACCGGCCTCGTAGGACATTTGAACGCCGTAGTGGTACTGGCCGCGGGTAGATACATCTTTCTTGTCTGTGTTACCTCGCCTTTCTATTACCATATTTGTAAAGCTGTCGTACTTATCTTTCACTGTATGAGCAGAAGTGAGATAAAGCGTGAAGGTGCTGGCCGAGGAAATTGGGGAACTGAAGCAGATGAACTTACTCAGTGAGTTTTACTTTCTTACATGGCCCTAAACCAACTAGTTTGAAAATAAATGGTAAATTCTATCTATTGAATTTGGTGTTGAATTTTATTGTATTGTCTATTACAGGATGACTGGTGAAGTTGCTGATGAAGGTGAGAAAAATCTGAATGTGGAGAAACCCTCCACCGAAGAAGGAGCAGGAGACGACAAGAAGGAAAATCCAGCTGCTGAAGCTGAGGACAAGGAGCCTGAAGATAAGGTGAAGTCTTCTTAATCATACACAACACAGTATTGATTGGACTTGTCGATCCTTGTGTTGCTGCCTTTGTATGGGACATGTCGTGCTCTGCTCTAGAAACAGATGCTCAAGAGAGCCTCGGCAATCATAATTTAACACCTTCCTTTTTGAAGGCCCATGGAAGTAGCAAGTCTATAATTTACTTTTTACTTTTATAACCTGGTAATTGCTCATCAACTGGAAGTAAATATCGGATGCACATTGGAACTTCTGGACATTGTTCTTTGGGTTGCTTGAGAAGGGGCTGGATTTTGGTTCCGTATTTGGTGTTTAGGTTAACAGAAGAATGTTTCATAATTGGAACTTGTTTGCTTAGTACATTTGGTGAGGTCATGTTTAAAGCCATTAAAGGACATGTTTTAAATATTGTGAATAATTTTGTTGAAAGTGCACTTGAGCTATGAAGTTATGACTTAAGTGTGTGACACAGGTAGAGCTTGTTTTTCTTGGCAGCAGCTTCTTTGCAAGCACCAAGTATTCAAGGCATGAGTGTCCGACCATGGGCTCTGTCAAAGAGGCGTGCACTACACAATAAATGTAGCTTGCACAGCAATAGACTAATTAAAGAAACATTATGGATGAATATTGTTGTTAGGAATAGGATAACAATTTACTAAAAAGAAACTTTAACTAATAAATTTGATTAAGACACTGACACAACTGCAGTTAGTTAGAAATGCACTTAGTGCTTAAATCTTTAATAGACTTGAGTGCCTTTTTACGTATTTTACTTTTGACAACACTGGCCATAAAGGTAGTAGCAGAAGTTTATCAGTAGTAGAAACTTTCCAAGTGTAGTGCTGGTTATGGTAGAACTAGTACTTAAGACATGGTGGAGTTGCAGGGTCTCAGACTAGGAAGTGTTAATGTTAAAAAAAAAAGACATGGTGGAGTTGCAGGTGATGGTTAATAGTTTTTTTACCAGTTCACTGCAAGAGAGATGGTGCTTCACAGCAGATGATTTATCGTTAGAGAATGCAGGTAAATTTGTACATTGTTTTATGTTTAATGTAATTCATGTTCCTTGAATGAATAGGAGATGACCCTTGAAGAGTATGAGAAGTTGCTAGAAGAAAAACGGAAGGCTTTGCAGGCGCTTAAGTCTGAGGAAAGGAAGGTCGACACCAAAGTATTTGAATCCATGCAACAGATTTCAAAGAAACCCAGTGATGAAATCTTTGTCAAATTGGTGAAATCTTGAGACATTCTGTCCTCTGCTTATGCTTGATGCCAGTTATCTTTAGAACATTTCTTGATATACTTCTATGCCTTAATTTTTAGGGCTCCAAGGATAAGAGAAAAGAGTCTGCTGAGAAGGAAGAGAAGGCAAAGAAGGTAATTCTTCGGTGGCTGCGTCCCTGACGCTCATTTATATAGCACATGCTTTTCTTATGCTGCTCTCAATAGTGCTTTACCAATCCTTGTGGGACTACACTGAGTCTGTTGTTGTTGCTCTCAATAGTGCTTTACCAAATTTTATGTACAATGCATCCATCCTGTTATAATTGTTATGCTTGCTATACACCACAGCAGACACTCTTTTCTGGATGCTGTTGCATGCGTGTCAATGAAAATTGTATCATGTTACAATGTTGTTGCAGAGGGTACATTTATGTTGTATTCTTCTACAGTTGGGCCTTTGTTTCCTCTGTTTCTTTCAGAATTTCTGGTAATCCTTTTGACTTGCCAACATATAGCTGTTGTAGTGCCATGCAACAATTTTTTACAAAAAGAAATCCATTACACACTCTTATACATGTGCATGCACAGGCTGAAGTTGATTGAGATGCGGTGTCAATCAATCAACATAAATGAGAGTGGAAATTGTAATCATCTTACACGTAATATCCTCTCTTTTTTTCTCTGGCTTTAGGCGGTCAGCATTAATGAGTTTTTGAAGCCTGCTGAGGGTGAGAGGTATTATGTACCTGGTGGTCGAGGTAGAGGGCGTGGCCGCGGTTCTAGAGGTTACAGTGGAACCAACACAATGAGCAATGTGGAAGCTGCTCCTCCCATTGAAGATCCAGGTCACTTCCCTACATTGGGTGGCAAGTGATGCTTTTGTAGTGCTTTTCTACCACGTCCAAGAGGCAAATCTAACTATAATAATGGAGTGGAAGTTTCAATGTAAATTTCTTCCGTTTATGTGATCCTCTCTGTAGCTTTTTTATTTTATTTTATCTGATGTGTTACTCTTCTGATCCTACTGGGTTATATGAAGCACATCAACTTATGCATGATCTTTTCCATCTGCTGTTTTATTCTAGTAATATTTTCTGTGCATCATTTAATGATAATTCTCATCTACTCAGATGGCAGGGTGGTCGGTCTTCTGAACTTCTGATTAGGGATAAATATCTTTACTTTTGATACTCTTGCTATTTGTGTTGGGAGGTCTAAAATTTGAATAGCCATGACTATCGAGCAGCTGTTGGCGGACCAAGTTTACCTTCATAAGGTCCGCTGTTCTTATCTTTCAAGGATCTTCTCTGCAAGTCTTTCAGCATTTCTGTATACAATAGCTCAACATCGAATTGAAGACCAAGAGCATGAACGCCAATCTCCCGTCACGCGTAATAAGCAAAATTATCTAATTACAAGTTTACTACTCCCCCACCCCCAACACCCCACTCCCTAGGATAGCACAGGGGTGATAATGGGGAAGCAAAAACTGAAAGTTGACGCAACTACAAGCAGCTCCTATGATTTATCACATGGGTCATGTGGTATCGTTATTTAAGTAGTAATAGAGTTGACTTAGAATGAAAAGAGATAAGAGGGTTAAGGATGGTGGTAGGTGAGAGCAGTGTGAATAAATAGCAGAATCAATCTAGTAAATATATTTGCGTGTGGATCTTGATGGAAATGGGGAGCCAAATTGCTGTCCCTGTGAAAGAAACCTTCTTCATATCACATGGTTCCCCAATGCTTTCAATAGATGACTCCTTACCTGCCAGACATTTCTTGAAATGCTTCAAACAGAAAGTCTTCACCCAGAAACCCAATTCAATTTTGGTGATCTCTGGTCATTGGGAGACTTCAGAGCCTACTGTGAATTGCATCACTGGCCTCAATGACACTATTTACGACTTCTACGGCTTCCCAGAACAGATGTACCAGCTGAAATATCAAGCACCAGGAGCTCCAAAATTAGCCAAAAGGGTGAAGGAACTGCTCAAGTCATCTGGTTTCAATCGAGTGCATGAAGACAATAACCGAGGCCTAGATCATGGTGCATGGGTGCCTCTTATGCTCATGTATCCAGAGGCTGACATCCCAGTCTGCCAGCTTTCCGTCCAGACAAAGAGGGATGGAACTCATCATTTTAACATTGGGAAAGCATTAGCCCCTCTCAAGGAAGAGGGTGTCCTCATAGTTGGTTCTGGATCTGCAACTCACAACTTGAGGGCTTTGCGCGATACAGCTGGCGTCGCTTCTTGGGCTATGGATTTTGACAATTGGCTTAAGGAATCCCTTGTTAATGGAAGGTATGAAGATGTCAACAACTATATGACAAAAGCACCTTGTGCCAAAATTGCACACCCATGGCCTGACCACCTGTATCCATTACATGTAGCAATGGGTGCTGCAGGTGAAAATGCCAAAGCTGAACTTATTCATCATAGCTGGAGCAACCATGCTCTTTCTTACGCCTCCTACAAGTTTGAGTCACAGCCTAAGTAGCCTTTGCTGACAGAAGAATGTTTACTTTATTTGTCCAAAAGCATTTAATGGCTTCAATGTATATTTCTATTGAGGGTCTTTCGAAAACAGTCTCTTTGCCTTCATGAGATAGTGGTAAGGTCTACGTACACCATACCCTCCTCAGATCCCACTTAATAAAATTTCACTAGATATGTTGTATATTTCTGCCGTTATAATTTAGGCAACGTTGAGAAGAGCAAATGTTGCCAAAAAAAATAAGGGACCATGCTCATCAAGCAGGACTCAGAGCTTAGCACAATTCTCACAGTGATTGAATGCTGATTGGGGACATCCGATATAACAAAAATAAAAAAAGGATGTTAACGGCAAAGACGTTCATGTTCACCAGTATAGCTTTCAGTTGAACTATGAGAAATTTATTTTTAAGCAAAAGCAGGCCTAAATGTCAAAGTGCAACAAATAATGCTAAGATCATTACGTTCACAATTGGTCCACTTCAATAAAAAGATATATTTCTTATCAAGAAATAAAAAGATATATCTAGTAGTAAGGATTTTACATGACAAGGCTACAAGGGTAAACATTGTTGTTGATTAGTGAGATTACAGTAGACATGTCATGGATGAGAGGTGAGCCAGCAAGCAAATAGCGGACGTTCTCTCAAGACGAGCAGCAGCCACTATTCTGAGCAACGGGCTGTCCACGAATGTTTACATTTGGAGGCTGAGCAGCATTTGGGGCCGGTTGGTTTGCCATACTGCAATCAGGAAGCCAAAGAGAAGGAAATAATGGGAATTGAGAGAAACAAATGTAAATGAAAAGATTATTTGGAGAACATTTTATAGCATCAAGTGAAGTTGATTAAACCATGCAATCGTACAAGGGATGGGGCCAAAACCAAACAAGTTGCTACATCTTTCATTTGGACCTTTTGGTTTATGTAAATGCTTATAGTGTTTGCATATCATGTTTAAATCCATTTAAAACGTCAAATAAGATCCTAAATGGGAAGATAACCATATTTACTACCTAAAATATCTCTCAATTTTCAGGACCAAACATAATGTCAGAGAAGGAAGTGATAAAAGTAAAAAAGTAATCGTCTCACAGAAAACAGTAGTAGTTGGATTTTATCAAAGATCACACCACAACTTGGAAAGGCTATAAAAGACACCATTGATTAGCACTATTTAAATACAAGGAATGCATTTACCTTTTCTTGATAGCAGCAGTCATAGCCATGAAAGACTCTTCTACATTACTAGCATCTTTCGCACTGGTCTCCAAGAATGGAATACCAATTTCATCAGCAAAGGCCTAAAAATAAATTAGTATAAGTTTGTTTTCCATTTAAATAAGGATCATTTAATATCTGCAAGAAGATGATTCACCTTAGCCGTTTCATACGACACAACTCTACTAGCAACAAGGTCAGACTTGTTCCCAACAAGAATTTTGTTAACATTTGGGGTAGCATAACGGTCAATTTCACTCAGCCACTGCTTCACATTATTGAAGCTCTCCTGATCCGTCACATCATAAACAACCTACCATAGAGGCCATAAAAAGAATGTAGAATGTAACAGGTAAAGAAAGTGGTTGACATTTAACTCTACAGGCAACTAATTATTATTTATATTGTGTTAAGAAAAGTAAGGTCACTACTCACTATTATGCCATGGGCTCCACGATAGTAGCTGCTAGTGATAGTCCTAAAACGCTCTTGTCCAGCAGTATCCCACTAAACAGAGTCAAAATAGAAAACACCAATTCTTGATTTCATTAAAGGTTCAGCGCAACAAATATCTGTAAAAAGAAAGGCCTGAAGCAGAAGTGCAGGAGAAGTCTTACAATCTGAAGCTTAATGGTCTTTCCATCTTGCTCCACTGTCCTGATTTTCTACACGAAAACATTTGGATATTTGGTAAAATCAGTGATCACATAAAAGTAAAAATGCTCTGGCTGAAAAAGATCACAGAATTCCAACCATATTGTAAAACTGAGTAGCACATAAACAATTAAAGTATCTTACAAAATCAACTCCAATTGTGCTTATGTAGCTCTCCTGATATGTGTCATCCTGATGGAAAAAAAGAGAAAATAAGCAGCCAACAATTACAGAAGAAAAATGTAAACAACATTGAACTATATTCTGATGCAGTTTTCAGCAGGGTAAGAATCTATGAGTTCATCATTAATCAATCAAATGTTTACAGGGTGAACGTGGAACTTCATAGAATGGCTATGCCTCTATAGAAAGGAGGAGCAAATATCATGTGCAAAGTAGTTTTCTACAAGATACTGATAGTTTCAACTTCATTATAAAGCAAGAAAACAACTCCACTAGAGTACTCAAGTAAACTCTAGTATAGTTCGAAAGTTCAGGACTATCCTCAGTCTTCACTTATAACAACAGACTGTGACAAGGAGCTAGCAAATAAGAAACAATGTCCTGACATTACTAGAAGAATGCCCATCTTTCTTTAGTCAACAAGAATCTACATCCACACCAAAAAAGGAAAAAGAAGAAGAAAATTGAACATTTTTTCTAATGACAGCCAGTATAGTGGCTATGCTTCTGAATTATAGGAAGGAGTAGCAAATATCGTGGGCGAAGTTATTTTCTACGAGATAGTGATAGTTCCAACTTCACTATAAAGCAAGAAAACAACTCCACCAGGGTACTCAAGTAGACTCTGGTAGTTGGAAAGTTTAGGACTGTCCTCAGTCTTCACTTGTAACAACAGACCATGACAAGGGGCTAGCAAATAACAAACAATGTCCTGACATTATTAGAAGAATGACCCCTCTTTAGATAACGAGAATCCATATATGCCACACCCCCAAAAAAAAATAAAAATAGAAGGATATTTCAGAACAATAATTCTAATGACAACCTCATGCCAGGCCATTCCGGAGCCGTTGGCTTGTGAAGCAAAAGAATAAAATGATTTAGACCACCCTCTATCCATGTCAGGGGTGACTGCTGTCCATGCAGTGAACAACATAGTAGATGGACCAATCACAGGAAAAAAACTGGCAGAAAAGATGGTGTCCCAGAAAGGGAACTGTCACGACCCGATTTCTCGAGTCATGACGGCACCTACTATACCCTACTAGTAGGTAAGCCAACCCGCAACCCAAAACATCAAGCAATGAGCGTAAGGGAAGAAACTAGCGAAAACAATAATCTAAACAAGGCGGAAACAAACCAAAATAAAAAGCTCAAAAAAGGGTACAACAGTCAGGTTAATCGCGAAATTACCTCGAACTACGTGCACCCAACAACTTCCAAACACTCTACAGCGAAGCCACCGAAAATACGAAGCTCCCGCACGTCAAATCGCCTAATTCGGTTGAGAGAGATATGAGGATTTTAAGTTTGGAAAAGGGTTGCTGATATTTCTGCATTTTATAGCAGATTCTGCATTAACTTTCCAAAAACTTAAAAGTCCAACGGGGTGCTCCGATCTCGTTCGGAACCCCGTGCACGCAAACGAGATATGCAACCATACCAAATTCAATATTCCGGACTCGATGATGCAGTCAAAATTTCCATACGAGGTCATCTTGACAAAAAATGAGTCCTACACCCAACCGCCATTTTAAGTCAAATACCACAAAAGGGATCAGAAAAAAATCAGAAACCTCGGGACACAAAAGAAGGGTCAATCTAGACCGAACTCGACATTTCGGTGCTAATTGCGCTGACGGAATTCTCATCCGAGTGCGTTTACTCAGAATGTTGACTAAAGTCAAACTTAGGCTTAAACTTAAAGTTAAAACGCCTAATCGCACCGACTCACACTGAAAACCTCGGGAGTCATGCCGACCATGCTACTGGCCTAAAATGACCCTTCCAGAGCTGATGAAATTGTCAGAATTGGATTTCGATGTCATCTTCTTGAACTTTTGATAGAAAATGATCGTTCAAGGTTCATAAGCTCCAAAAACACTAAAACTCGCACAATAACCAAACGAACGACCAAGTGACCGAACTGTCAGTCCCAGCAAGTCATAAATGACTGGGGGTCGCTACAGGAACGCTCTAAACGACACAGAAGGCACACCTTGAAATGTCGAGTTTAGACTGCTGCATATTTTCTTTTAAGTTGATTAAAGTGTGGTTTTCTTGCTTGTTGGTTTTTGCTGCATTTTGAGCCTTGAATTGTGTTCCATTTTGGAACACAAGTTCGGGGTACTGTTTTGGGTCTCTTGACGGAGTCAAATTCGAACAGTTCGGTGCGGGTCTCACGATTCCCGTTTTGACTCCAAAATTGACCCGTCTCCGTTTGTTGTGATTTTGGTGTCTAAACGACCGTACTAACGTTGTATCCAAGGAGGGCATTATGGTAGATCTGACGAAGATTGAGGCTATTCGTGATTGGGCTAGGCCCACCTCAATTACTGAGATTCGGAGCTTCGTCGGACTAGCAGGCTACTACAGACGATTTGTAGAGGAGCCAGTTGTCATTCTAGCCAGAGATGTGAGGAGATTGCGCTTAAGAGCCATTCCTGTTGTTAAGGTTCGTTGGAGGCATCGTCCAGTCGAGGAGGCTACCTGGGAGACCGAGCAGGAGATGCGAGAGCAGTTTCCCGGCTTGTTTCAGCCTTCAGGTACTTCTTGACCCTTACTTTCGCGGACGAAAGCCCTTTTTAGTAGTTGATATTGTAATGACCCTCCTGGTCATTTCTGTGTTTTGCCTTCTGTGTGTCGTTTAGAGCGTTCCTGTAGCAACCCCAAGTCATTTATGACTTGCTGGGACTGACAGTTCGGTCACCTAGTCGTTCGTTTGGTTATTGTGCGAGTTTTAGTGTTTTTGGAGCTTATGAACCTTGAACGATCATTTTCTATCAAAAGTTCAAAAAGATGACATCGAAATCCAATTCTGACAATTTCATCAGCTCTGGAAGGGTCATTTTAGGCCAGTAGCATGGTCGGCATGACTCCCGAGGTTTTCAGTGTGAGTCGGTGCGATTAGGCGTTTTAACTTTAAGTTTAAGCCTAAGTTTGACTTTAGTCAACATTCTGAGTAAACGCACTCGGATGAGAATTCCGTCAGCGCAATTAGCACCGAAATGTCGAGTTCGGTCTAGATTGACTCTTCTTTTGTGTCCCGAGGTTTCTGATTTTTTTCTGATCCCTTTTGTGGTTTTTGACTTAAAATGGCGGTTGGGTGTAGGACTCATTTTTTGTCAAGATGACCTCATATGGAAATTTTGACTGCATCATCGAGTCCGGAATATTGAATTTGGTATGGTTGCATATCTCGTTTGCGTGTACGGGGTTTCGAACGAGATCGGAGCACCCCGTCGGAGTTTTAAGTTTTTGGAAAGTTAATGTAGAAAAATCTGCTATAAAATGCAGAAATATCAGCAACCCTTTTCCAAACTTAAAATCCTCATATCTCTCTCATCTCTCAACCGGATTAGGCGATTCGAAGTGCGGGAGCTTCGTATTTTCGATGGCTTCGCGGTAGAGTGTTCGGAAGTTGTCGGGTGTGCGTAGTTCGAGGTAATTTCGTGATTAACCTAACTATTGTACCCTTTTCCGAGCTTTTGTTTTTGGCATTCTTATTTTGGTTTGTTTCCGCCTTGTTGCCCTTGCTTAGATTATAGTTTTCGCTAGTTTCTGCTCTTACGCTCATTGCTTGATATTCTGGGTTGAGGGTTGGCTTACCTACTGGTAGGGTATGGTAAGTGCCGTCATGACTCGAGAAATCGGGTCGTGACAAGAACTGTCATGCAACATTTTTATGGCTCTAAGAAGGTAGGTCCGAAAAAGCATAAAAAAGCAACAACCCCTCCCCCGCCCTTCTAAAAGGTACAAATAAGTGAGAGGATGATGAACTTCATAGCTCAAAAATAAATATTTTTATTTTTATTTTGTATAACATTGGTAATGTTATGAGATGAGCTAAAATGGAATTATTTCAAAAAAACAAATTTGATAGAACAGGTGGAAAGAGCGCATTTGATCCAATAGGTAGATAGAAAGACAAATTTAATCCAATAGGTGGAAGGAGAACATTTTTTATCCAATTGGTGGAGGGAGGGCATTTTTCAGTCATTTCTAAAACGTTATGGGCATTTTTTAACCTTTTCCCAAAAAAGAATTGACATGGAGATTATAGCAAATAAGCAACAAAACAGTGTTTTCAAAGGCGAAAAGCATTAAAAAGTGCTCTAGGCCTATCTGGAGTTTTAGAAAAAAGGCACAACAAAGAAAAAATAAAAAATATATACCCGAAGGAGGGCATTTCTGAGTCATTTCTAATATGTAAATGGCATTTTTGACCCTTTACTGAAAAAGAATTGACATGGAGATTATAGCAAATACGCAACAACGTAGAGTTGTCAAAGGCGAAAAGCGTTAAAATTACTCTAAGCAATTAAAGTTTGGGCTTAATTTAAAAAGGCGCAACAGAGAAAAAAATATAATTTATATGTATTACAGGAAAGAAAAAACAATATCATTCATAATGATCTCCTTAACAATTACTAATATTATCTTTTTGTTGATCATATTATTGTTTAGTACCGCTCTATTCAAGATAGAACTTATAATAATGAAGCGTACGCCTTAGAGCCTTGCCTATACTAAAGCACATCCTAAGTGAGGCAAAGCGCCTCCCCTAAGCTTCTTTGAGCTTTAGAATTAAGCGCGCCTCAAGTGAACCTTCCTTAAACCAAGACAGGTTATTTAGTTTGCTTCATTACTGTGGTGCAAAGAACAAAACTATGTCATATAGTACTTACTCTGTCTCATAATTGGGTTGTTCACTTCCCCAAGAGTTAAGAGGTCATTTTGACCCAAGTTTATAGATATATCGGAAAAGGGTCAAAATTGCCCCCGAACTATATGAAATAGACCATTTATACCCTTCGTTACATTTTGGGATCAAAAATGCCCATGCTGTTATCCTAAGAGACCACAAATACCCTCAAGAGTTAACACCACAAATTTTTATTGACGTGGCAAGCCACGTGGGACTAATCCTTCCACCTAAGCGTTGCCAACTAGGATTCACTACAAAAGAACTAGGCCTTTAGCGGCAACAACAGTTGCCACAAAAGCCCAGAAAATCGTCACTAAAAGTTTTTAACATTAAATTCTAATTTTGTGTTTTTTTCTTCATTATTTTTTAAAAATCAAATATGATATCGATTAAGTAGAAGTTTGAAGACACTATATGTTTTATTTTTATGTCATATGTAAATGTATAAAATGTACAATGATGCATTATATATATATAGTAGGAGATTTGAATTGAGAAGTAATTTTGATTATTTTTCGTAATAATATTGGATGTTTTTAATATGGATATTGCAAGTTATTTATTTTAGAAAATTAGGTCGCAATCGAAAATTAATTATCATATTTTTTTGTTGAAAAAATAGGTTTTACTAGCGAATGGTTGTTAGAGCCTTAGTCGCCACTAAAAATTACTCATAACCTTTAGTGGCAATATTTTGGGATTTTGTGGCGACTTTGTCGCCACTAAAAGTCAAGTTCTTTTGTAGTGAATCTTAGTTAGCAATGCTTAGGTGGAGGGATTAGTCCCATGTGGCTTGCCATGTCACTAAAAAATTGGGGTGTTAACTATTGAGGGTATTTGTGGTCTCCTGGGATAACTACGGGGGTATTTTTGATCCCAAAATGTAATGGAGGGTATAAGTGGTCTATTTCGCATAGTTCAGGGGCAATTTTGACCCTTTTCCGTAGATATATTATGTCATCATTTTGAAAGGTTAAATTGCAACTTATAGTGTTTTTTGTGCAGCTTCTAATACAAAAAGTGGAGTTACCAAAGTCCAATGACCAAAGATGCGACCAGCTGATCTCAAACAATGAAAATGTGACTAAAATTATGGGGCAGAAGTACAAACTTGGATTGGATATTGAAATTTCAAGTAGGCTACTGTCAATTACTGCACATTATAACACTGTGTGCTTGAACTGAATTGAAACTGATTTTCTGTTTCCTTCAAATCTTCAATCATATCAATTTATTGCCTTTCCATTTTTCAATACATACCACAGAAGGTAAATGGAACTCACAATAAATTTGCAATTAATCTTTACTGAAATATCAATTTCTTATTCATATTGGCCGTTGTTTTTGCTGTCTGAAAATTTGGCGAAGTACCTATGGAAAGCTATGGTTTTGCAGAACAGGGGAGTCGAAGGTGGATTAGGTTCTTCGAGGTTGATTTGAAATTGAATGCTAGAATAAAAGCACATTGCAGAACCACCCATAAAGATCACTACTCGATTAAAGACATATGAATGAAAATTTTCCCCAAATTTAGAATAAAAATGAAATGTTAGGGAAGCAGTCAGTATGTGCTCAGATAACTGATTCACTCCAAGGGGGGAATGGAACAGAAAAATGAAGACATGGAGAATCCAGTGGCTAGTGCATATGGTCATGATTCTCCACAAAAATCCTCCATTTGTTTAGTCAATCAAGAGTTCAGTAAGTCTGTTACACAAAGGAAAGGTAATAGCAGCACCAGAGAAAAAAATCAGTACAGACAAATCCAAGATAGGAAAACTTACAGCGAACCTCAAAAGGAGACATGACTTCCCAACACCAGAATCACCAATAAGCAAAAGTTTGAACAGGTAGTCACTGCACAGAAATCACAACAAATGTAATCATAATACAAACTCAATAGCTTGCAGCTGTTGAAAGATGCATACTTAAACACTATCCTAGATGACACAGCTAAATCACTAATAGAAACAAGCACTAACATTAAGATGAAGAGCAGCAAATGTACCAATTAAGAAAATTCAATTATTATATTAACAAAACTGTAGAAAAGTTTGTTGTCTTTCTATATATGCATAATTTAGCAACATCTGCTGGCCAATTTGGTATTTAATTTGATCCTCCTACTACTTGATTTGACTAAAATTATATGAAACTACCAAAGTTCTACATTACGGCTCATTCACTAGATGTTCAAATTTACTTTGCATTTTAGTAAATTTTATTGCACAAATTTATCAATAAACCAAGACAAAGTAGTCTTTACATTATAGAATCACCATACACTCTTACATGCTTACAAGATGAGGTGTTATAGTATGGTTATTGATCCTTATGATAGAATCTGGGGAGCAGATTTTCTAAGGACTGTACCCTTTTTGAAAGGTTAAAGAGACAGACATGATAGGATAACTGTCCTACCATATGCTATCAGTTATAATCAGACATAGCCTCTTTTTTTTTAAAAAAAATAATCAGACATAGCCTACAAATTCCAATATAGATTACGTTTGGATATTGTTCTCTAGGTTGAACTTGATATGATTTAATGCTACAGCAGGAGACACATAATTGATAATCCTACTTATCTAGAACAACTCTACAACAAAGGAAGACTAACATTGATCGACCTGATTCCCACTTAAACCAGTTTAGGGAATTACTCAAAAATTGACTTAGACTTTACTAGTTGGACCTTATGTGAAAAAAATATCACACCAAGAGTTTCAACTGATCTAGAGGTAATCATGAAAGCAACGTTGGCAAACACAAAAAGAATAGAAAGGCACCAAATGCCTACAGGGACTTAAAAGCAAAACACAACTGAAGTGAGTACTTTTATTGAAGAAAGGTTCATATGAAAAAGTATATGTAATGCAAGAAAAATTGTTGTAAATGTTAATCGCAACACACACAACAATTATATGGATTAACTTCCAGAAAACTGCAACTGAGTGAAATCCATGAAGTAAACTCCTTTCTTTTATCACGTTCAAATATTAAAAGAATACAATTTTAAGTTTCTGATTTAATTGGTGACTAGTTTTTTCATCTACTAAATTTCTAATTTCATTCATAACTCATAAAAAAGATAAAAAAAAATCTTTTTCATATGTACTAAAATGCAATTAGCAATTAATATATCGCTTTGGGAACTATATTTATTGATTAGTGTTGTCCTCTTTAAGATAGACTTCATGAGCACTAAGATGCAAGCTTTAGTGCCTTAAAGTGATGCAAAGCACCGAACCTGCAAAACACATATTTTCGAGGTTCAAGCGTGCTTCAAGCTAATCTCAAGCAACACAACGTATAGAAACTATCTGACAAAATTTGATAGCTAATTCACAGTGAATCTGATATATTTAAATAGAGCAACAGATAACAACTTGAAAATAGAAGATTTTCAAGATGTATTCTGGAATGAAGTTCATGAGAAAACTGATACTCCCTCCTTTCCACCTTTTGATTCTATGATCAATTTATATGACTATATTTTGTCTTTGGGACCGATTGAAATAGAAAAAGGTGAAAATGATAAAAGGGAAATATCTTTTAAGCTAGTAAGACAATGCACATAATAAAACAGCCAAGGTTGAGCATTTTCACCCTCCTCCCTGCTATAATTAGGAGGGAAAACGTAGCACATAAAACAGAAAGTCGATCCAGGGTATTTTTATCAAGCTTTAACGTATAAAAAGTAATCAATTTTTTCAAACGATATTCGATTGCAGAATAATGACTTAGGGTTTACAAGTGAAATCAACAAATGCTATAAAACAAGGATATTTCGATAAATCCACAATTAAACGAATATATATTGAATGAAAAAGAGTTAGATAAGGAAATTGAATGACAGACACTAATCTGAAGGGATAGTTCAAGTCTTACTATTCTGTATTCATTGCGATAGTACAATGTGGAAATATTGCAAAATAATAAGTAATGTGACAACAGAACTTACTATTCTGTATTCATGGCGATTACAAGCACACAAAATTCGCCGGAATATGAGGAATTTAACGGCGGATATTGATTCTTCGCGGCAGAATTCAGATGCAAAAAACAAAGAGGCTGTGGGGGGCAGAGAGAGCCACTGGAAATTGCAACGAAGACACGTAAATGGGGAAGATGACATAAATGGTCCCTAATGTTTAGTATATATCTTAAATAGTCCATTAAATATATCCTTGAGTAATTTTAGTCCTTTAAATTTGCTACAGATGATTTTTGGTATCCGTCAAATATTAATCACCCATCACCCCATCCCCGATCTCATTCTCATAGTTTTTTCTCGTATAAAAATACATTTAAGATAATGTTTTTTCTCTATATATATATATCATACCATAAATTTAATACAGTGGCACCCAAGGATTTATCCTACCAAATGATAAAGTGTTCCAAATTTTGGAAGCAACTTTCAAATTTCGTTTTTACTTTTATTTGATCGTAAATTTAGTTGAATTTTTTTTAAAAAATATAATGAATTTTTGAAGTTGTGTTAAATAATTGTTTTTGCATTTTAAAATTGTGTTGAAGAGTAGTTTTGAATTTTTAAGTTCTATATGAACGTGTATTTTTTATATGAAAAAAATTAAGTAAATTATAAATATAAGTGACATTTCATCAAAAACTATTCTGGTCTAGTTTTGAAGATAATTAAAAGACCGATCAAATTTCATAAACAAACAATGATTTAATTTTATTTTTGAAAATTTACTCCCAAATTCCATGGCTAAAGAATATCTAAGTTTTAAAAGATAATTTGTCAATATCTATATTGATGGAAAATAATAAATACATAATAAAAATATTCTAGATATGTATATAAATTAAACCGGCATCATAATTATGAAAAAAAAAGATAAATTAATATATACACGTCATAAATTTACTGAATTAGTGGATTGTCCATTCACTCAATACATGAACTATTACATTCATGTATATATATTTCCTAGGTTCTATGAACCATTTTGTATAAAAATGTATCCATTAATTTAGACATTTAACATAGTAATTTTTGGAGTGATTTCTCAATCTATAAATAAAGTTATCATCTATCATTTGAAAAAATAAGTGTTTGGCAAATCCTTAAAACTGCTTTTAAATGGAAGCAGAAAATTATTATTTTTTAAGACTATAATATTCCTTACATATATACATATTTATCAATATATCCCTTGTTAATTAATTAACATATCAAATAAGTTTGGTAAATTTTCATTCAAGAATTTATTTTTTATTTATATATAGTAAAAAAATTATTATTTATATATATATATATATATATATACGTATTATTTTACAGAATTAGAAATAAAAGTAACAACGATATTTTTGTATGATTAAAAAAAATAACAATTAAAGATTTAGACCCTCCCAAAAAAGTAACAAATATCAATTTTTTCTTTTCTTAATTTACGTAATATTTTATTTTTATTTTTGTTTTTAAAAAACTTTAGAGTATTATAACAAAAAAGGATAATATCTAAGATTAAATCCAAAAAAATAGGTAACAAATAACGAAAAAAAAACTCTTTTCAATATTTTTCAACAATATTTATCTATGTACAATATTGATTGAAAATTTGAATATGTACATTTTAAATAATTAAATTAAAAATGTATTAAAGTTTATGTATTAGATGTTTAAAATAGTTTCTCTATAAAATAATCTTAATATTAAAAGCACATTGATACTTACCATTTTTCGTAATTTAACTCCCAAAAGCACTTTTTAAATTATTTAGCCAAAACACTTTTTTAAATGAATTTGCCAAACACATATTGCTTTTTTGACAAACACTTTTTTTTAAAAGCATTTTTTCTGAAAAGCTATTTTTAAAAAAACGCTTCTAAAAATAAGCAGTTTTTAATAATAATGTCAAACACACTGTTAAATTAGATAGTATCTACATTCTCCTCTTCATATCTCTTGTTTGGATTAACTTAAAAGTTGGTCAAACCTACTTTTAAGTCAGTTTTTGACTTCTGAAAGTGTTTGGCAAATATAAAAAGTAATTTAAAATAAGTCAAAAATGACTTAAAATAAGTTGGAAAGTATTTGGGAAGGTAAAAAATGACTTAAAATAAGTAAAAAATTGTAGGTCTCCCCCTAGTTTTTATTTTTTGACTTAAAAGTCATTTCAGTTTGACTTTTTATTTTTGACTTAAAAGTCATTTCAGTTTGACTTTTTATTTTTGACTTAAAAGCTATTTTTTTAAGTCAATCCAAACGGGCTAGACTATAAGTATTAGTTTACTTTACCACTGCAGGGAAGGCTAGAAGTGGGCACCTCAGGGTTGACGTGTCTGCTTTTAGCCAATGATATTTAATGTAATTTTATATTTTTTTGTTTTAATTTACTTATCTTATCTATTTATGTTTTGAATATTTAAAGTTTATATAATTTTTTTTTATATAAAGTACGATAATTATTAATTTAAAATATTTAAATTTTAAAAGATATAATAAAATTTGATTGATTCTCAAAATTTTATGGGTGTCACATAAATTAGGACAAAAGAAATAATATACTATATTATTTAAAATGACATAAAACACACTATAAATCACAATAATTAATAACTTGAAATATTTAAAAAATATACAAAAATAAAAATAAAAATCAGTTGTTTGCTCCAGGTAAATTGTGACATAGAGAGTAATATATATTATCTTTTAAAATTATGTAAAAATTACTATAAATCACAATAATTAATATCTTCAAATATTTTTAAAAGTCTATATTTTTTAAAAATGATTCTCCAAATTCTAATCATGTCACATAAATTAAAACTAAAAAAATAACATATATTAAGTCTGTATTAATACAAGTCTTCATCTCGAATATACATGATAAAGAGTATTATCACTTATCTCATCATCAAGGTGTAAAGTTTGTTTATTTTGTCCACACGTACGTGATCAACTTGCAAACAAGCTAGCAACAGCTCCTTGGACTATAAGATTCATATCATAGTCTAATAAATAAACATCATCTTATTCATAGTTGTTTGGTAAATCTGCTGGTTTTTTCAGTTTGCCAAGAGATATATGCTTCGAAAACCAACAATTACTATATACTATAGTTTAGTATATCTTCAAATACATATGACGTACTAAAGGACAATCATCCAAATTAAACCAGGCATGAATCTAGCTGGTTCAGTCAGAGGAGGTTGTGGCCTTTTTGATATTAAATTCATTTGAGCTCAATAGATGTATAAATATATAATTTTTTAAAATAAAATTAAGTATATAACATAATAAAATTTAATAAAAAGAATATTAAATATAAATTCACAAAATTTTAATCCTAAATTTATCTGTGAACTCGGATCTATAGCCAGCATTTGCAAATGGCAAGGACTTCAAATATTCTTTCGTGAGCATATAGTAACATTTACGCATGTAACGTAAATCAAATTCTCTTAAATTAGTTAAAGATGAGTCTGATTTTCTGTTTACATTAAAATAATTGAAAATAATATTACTTATAATATTCCAGCCTACTTTATTTTTTAAATTAGACTAATATTACATTTTACATTACGTTGATATTTTAATGATAACTAGAAGAAATCGTTCACAGTTAGAGAAACTAGTTTATACCTACAAATACAGTAGAGTTATTATTTGTTATAACAAGTTTAATTACAAAGATAATATAAAAATTACTGACAGTATATATAAATTAATTAAATTATTTTATTTCCCCCCATTTTTCTATTCTACGTAGAAAACGAGTATGTATTTTAATTTCTTTTAGAGCGTGTGGGTTATACAGAGGCCCTGGTCGTTTTTCAAAACACTATGGACAGCCAAATTAAGCTCCATCAGCTTTTATTTACTAATATAAATATAGATTCGTTTGTATATATATGATATAAAAGAGCTTAGGGGCATTTGCTAATAAGGTGAGGAAGGGGAAATGAAAATAGTACACAACATTTAGCAACATCACCCTCGAATCCTGATGGATATGGTGCAGTAAATGAGATTGCTCTTTCATTAATTAGAGATCGCAGGTTCGAACTCTGAATATGAAAAGATCTTTAATAAAGAGTGTTTTCCTCTGAATGGGTCCTTTGCAGTGTGAATCTGGAATAATCAGACTCCAATACGAATATTAAATATCAGACGTGGATGAAAAAATATTTAGCAACATCACATTGATCACTTTGGAAACTTCAAAGAATGAATGAAAGCAGGGTTTTCAGGTATATATGTGCTGATTTGACTTTCCTTTGACTTATCAATGTGTGTGTTAATATCTCTCCGCCAAATATTCCCTTGCTAAATAGTTCTTTTATAGCTAACAATATTTTGGCTAATCTCTCGTTAAATAAGGTTAGTAACAATTTTTGTTATTGTTTAGCGATTGAAGTTGTTACTCGCTAATTCTTTTTTTTTATGAGTTAATGTTAATTCAATTTATTAAGATTTTCTAACTTTTGCATTGAAGTCTGATTAAATTCAAATTCACATATCGGATGATTCATTTATGAAACTCTCAAATGTATTTATTAAAATTGGTAAGAATATGTTAAATTTTGACATGAAAAACAACTCTTAGATTTTGAGTTTTCAAGTCTAATCACCCCTTGAACCATTCTTTCATTTTGGTACATATCATGTATCATACATAAACTCGTAAGTGAAGGATTTAGGAAAACGAGGATTAAAATATTTAATTTTGATTATGAAATTCGATATTGACCCACACACATGCAAAGTTAATGTAGCAAAAGTTGTTTGGTAGAATGTATACGAATAGTATTGAATAAGATGTACTAGTTGTAATGTTGATATTAGTATATACTGCATGTTGAATTAATTGTCTTGGGATTTTCTTTAATTTCCAATTTGATTTGATGTATTAAAGATAATTATATATTTAATCATGCTTGTTCATATATTAATAAGGAAACATTATATTGCTAATATCATGATTCACTACATCTTAATTATATTAATAAAGTATATAACTAATATGAAAATCCTACGAATAGAATTATTAAATAATATCATAATTAATACATAAATCAAATTTCTAATACATCCTATTGGCCTCTCCATAGATGTGAAGTTCATGGTTAATATTTTTTCTGAAATAGTTTGCATTT